AGATATAATCAGGGTATTGGTTGTTATAATCATGGCCCTTGTTGTTATAATCATGGCCCTTGTTGTTATAATCATTGTCGTGGTTGGTATAATCATGGTCGTGGTTGTTATAATCATGGTCGTGGTTGTTATAATCATGGTCGTGGTTCTTATAATCATGGTCATGGTTGTTATAATCATGGTCGTGCTAGTTATAATCATGGTTGTGGTTGTTATAATCATGGTCCTTGTTGTTATAATCATGGTCGTGGTTGGTATAATCATGGGCGTGAGTGTTATAATCATGGTCGTGGGTGTTATAATCATGGTCTTGGTTGTTTTACTTATAGTTGTGGTTGTTATAATCATGGTCGTGGTTGTTATATTAATGGTCGTGGTTATTATAATCATGGTCGTTGTAATAATCATAGTTGTGGTTGTTATAATCATGGTCGTGGTTGTTATAATCATGGTCGTGGTTGTTATAATCATTATCGTCGTTGTTATTATCATGGTCGTGGTTGTTATAATCATGGTCGTGGTTGTTATAATCATGGTCGTGATTGTTATAATCATAGTCGTGGTTTTTATAATCATGGTCGCGGTTGTTATAATCATAGTCGTGGTTTTTATAATCATGGTCGCGGTTGTTATAATCATGGTCGTGGTTGTTATAATCATGGTCGTGCTAGTTATAATCATAGTCGTGGTTGTTATAATCATTTTCCTTGTTGTTATAATCATTGTCGTGGTTGGCATAATCATGGTCGTGGTTATTATAATCATGGTCGTGGTTAGTTATAATCATGGTCGTGGATTTATTATAATCATGGTCGTGGTTTTAATATAGTCGTGGGTTGTTATAATCATGGTCATTGTTGTTATATTCATGGTCTGATTTTTATAATCATAGTCGTGTTGATATAACATGGTCGAGGTTATTAATCATGGTCGTGGTTTTTATAATCATGGTCGTGCTTGTTATCATAGTTGTGGGCTATAATCATGGTCTGGATTTATTTTCAATCATGGTCATGTTATAATCGTTGTCGTGTTTGTTATAATCATGGTCGTGGTTGTTATAATCAAGGTCGTGTTGTTATAATCATGGTCGTGGTTGTTATAATCATGGTCGTTGTCGTCGTTGTTATAATCATGGTCGTGGTTGTTATAATCATGTCGTCATGGTTGTTATAATCATGGTCTGGTTGTTATAATCATGGTCGTTGTTGTTATATACATGGTCGTGGTTGATATAATCATGGTCGCGCTGTTATATCATGGTCGTGTTTGATATAATCATGGTCGTGGTTAGTCATGATGGTTTTTATAATCATGGTCGTGGTTGTTATAATCATGGTTGTGGTTGTTATAATCATGGTCGTGGTTGTTATAATCATGGTCGTGGTTGTTATAATCATGTTCTTGGTTGTTATAATCATGGCCCTGGTTGTTAAAATTATGGTCGTGATTGTTATAATCATGGTCGTGGTTGTTATAATCACAGTCGTGGTTGATATAACCATTGTCGTGGTTATTATAATCATGGTCGTGCTAGTTATAATCATAGTCGTGGTTGTTATAATCATTTCCTTGTTGTTATAATCATTGTCGTGGTTGGCATAATCATGGTCGTGGTTATTATAATCATGGTCGTGGTTGTTATAATCATGGTCCTGGTTGTTATAATCATGGTCCTGGTTGTTTTAATCATGGTCCTG